GCATAGTTGGCTGAAGTCCACACTAAGTCAGCTCTCTGTACCATGGCTGTGGCTGGCAAACAAGGGCTTGAGCACAGTCCCCAGGGGTGGCACGTGGCACCACAGGCTGTGCTGCTCAATCAGGGCTGCAAAGTGAGGGGTGTCAAAGAGCTTTGGCCATGGCACAGTGGGGTTCTGACCTGCACTAGGACAATGCCACAGGGCTTATAAGAGCTATACATCTGCTGCAAGGGGAAGATACGCAGGCATGGAGAGGGAACTGAGGATGCACAGCTCCCACTGAGGCATCTGTGTTGTTCGCAGTCACTGGCTGTGACTGCAGCACACACAAGCTGTGTGTGTCTCGTGCATGGCAGTGTTAAATAGGTCTATAAACTACATCATGAGATTACCCAGAGATACACAAAGAAACCCTGAGTGAAACTCTGTAAGATCATAAAAGCAGTGAAACTGTGCCAGAGCATTGGGATGGCTCAGCCTGTTCATGGAGGTGGGGGGTATGGCTAAAAGCTGTTTCACTGTGCAGGCTGTGGGTTAAGCCTATGTCACTAATGCTCTCCACATAGCACGTGGTTTTCAGAAGGAAGATGCTATGATATTTCGGTGTATTTGTTAAACCTACAAGGAGATGAGCAATAAGTACACTTAGGGGAAGATTTCTCTGAGATACACCGTATCTGCAGCTAAAAGTGGTTCCACTGCCATGAAGTTACCTGTTTTTCCAAACAGTTCTTGTTATCGCATTGCTATTGTGTATCAGTTCTTTGGATGGTGTGAGATCACATCTCCTGTGTGTCACAACAGGAGGAAAAAATCTGGGCTGAAAATAGATTTCTGCAGCAAAGCAAAAGAAAAGCAAAATCTGATGCGTCCAAGAAATACATCTACATTTCACTTGCAAACCTAAACAGGAAGAAACTATTGACAGACAATGTACAAACAGTTCTTGTAATAAACTTTTGAGTTCATACTGGTTTTTACAGCCACTCCCCATCTGCTGCATACTCCACAGCCAAGTAGCTAATTATAGCCTTCCTGTTGTTTTCCAGTTCCTCCTCTGCTAAATAATGGGAGGAGAAAGGGTTATGGAAATTGATACACTTGACAGAAAAAATAAATAAGCAAATGAATACGTAACTAAATAAATAAATAATTAATCCAGCAGTCTCCAAGACAAGGCTATTCTATCGTACCTCCGGCACCTTGAGCCAAACTTCAAGGGTTATTCAAGAAAAATGATGATCTGGCACCTCAGAGAATAAGACATAAGTATCAATTAATGCTTAATTAACACCGCATGACATTGATTTGAATAAATAGAACCTTTTAGAAGGATGTCTCTATACACTGTGGGTTGAAACAAGATGCCTTGTGGGAAGAATGAGAAGCTGCCTAGTATTATGTAACATCTCTATAGTTATAGCACCTGGAGGCTTTGAGTGTATCATGAGCCCAACTTGTTAGATGCTGTATAAATATAAAGTTACTAAAGATGCTTATCTTGGATTTGTAGTGTAAACAAGAAGATATGCCACACAGTTCTGGTGACAGGTTGATCAAGGCTAAGGAGACAGGAGACCTAAGGAAATTTGCAAAGCCATGCACATTGTCTAGCAGTTTCTAATTTGTTGGGACACGGGTAGTTTTACAAAAACTTATTCCCAAAACTTTATCTATATAAAGTGCTTGCAAAAGTCCCCAAATACATAAGAGCTGCCTTTTGGTGTTTAACAGGAAAACAGGAAGGAAAAGTGTGTACAGCTTGCAGCAGAATAGCATGCCAGCCAACAACAATCAGTGTTTCAAGCTGGGTACCAAATGCCAACTACCTAATGCCATCTTTCCTCACCTGAGTAAGAGCAGTCTGATCAGCAATGAGCCACAGCTTCCACTGAGAGCTGCAAGAGGACAGCAGCTCCAAAAATCATCCTGTTTCCAGATCAATGTTGGCTGCACCTGAGAAATACTCTATATACCCTGAGGCACGTTGTTACTATTAATGAGACAATAAAATAACAGACCCTGTTATTTGTACTGTTCATATTTCATCTTCTGTGTGCATTGAAGAGGGACACAAAGGTGTTTAGAGAGCCCTTCTCCTGTGGAGACAGGCTGATAGAGTTGGGGTTGTTCAGCCTGGAGAAAAGAAGGCTACAAGGGAACCTTAGAGCCCCTTCCAGAACCTAAAGGGGGCTACAAGAGAGCTGGAAGAGGGACTTTTGCCATGGAGGGACAGGACAAGAGGGAATGGCTTCAGACTGACACAGGTCAATTTTAAATTGGGTATTAGGAAACAATTATTTCCTGTGATGGTGGTGGGGCACTGCCACAAGTTGCCCAGTGATGCTGTGACTCCTCCATCCCTGGAAATGTTCAAGGCCAGGCTGGACGAGGCTTTGAGGTACCTGGGGCTTTGCACAACTGGATCTAGTGAAAAGTGTCCTCGCCCACGGAAGGGGGTTTGGAATGAGATGATCTTTGAGGTCCTTTCCAACCCTAAGCATTCTATAATTCCAAGACTTCGCAGATAATATTGGACCAGCCACCATAGCATACCTGGGAAGCAGCTCTGGACATACCCCTTGAGGGAAACATATGCTTCACAGCTGGCATAACTGACTCCACTACCCAGTTGGACATAACTGGGGAAAAATTCTGTGATTGCACAGGAAATAACTGATTTGGGTTCTATTATTGACCCTTTGACCTTATGTCACTACTTCACTACTCAGATCTCCTGGTAGCAAAAAGGTTATCAAATGCCTCAGGGTTGTGAAAAACTGCATTTTGCAATGAGTAGCATTTTGGAATGAAAAAGTCTTCAGATTATATTGACAAGTTAGAATTCACCTTCAGTAAAAAGCTGTTTAGACATGTCCTCTGAAATTCCTGTCTCTTAATAGAGAGCTTGTCATGTGCAGTGACTCTCAGCAATTTGAGTTTTACTTTAGAGATTTCCTCTCCTTTTTCTTATTCCACTCAGTTTTCTGTCACCTCATTATACTGTTACCACTTACTATGAAACCCTGACTTTGAAAACACCTCTCTTTCTTTCTTTCTCTTTTTCTCTTTCTCTTT